GGGCCATCATTTTGAAGTCCGACCGGGCCTGTGGCCCAGCCATCGACCTGGTCAAGGCCCAACCCATTCGAGACCCAATGTCCCGCGAGGCCCACCATGGGTCTGGCCAAATTTACACCCATATTTACACCCTTTTCACGGCCAATTTCACCAACCGGGTGTCTGGAACATGATCGCTGCTGACCACGTCGCTCGGTAGGAGAAGGCCTTGGAGAGGTCAAAGGCGAGAAGATGTTCTTTGTCGCCCTTCACGGAAGCTATTGCCGGGATCTCCATACCCCGATGTTTGAGCTGCGGTCGCCATGCTGGTGTTGGGTCAGCGGTGACGGCAGGCTGCTCGGTGGTGAGCTCGGCAACCAATTCGGCAGAAGGATCTGCACGCAGTCTTTTGCCAGCCCGGCGAGTGTCTTGGCTTGCTTGCCTGGCGGCGGGAGATGCTAACGCCACCACAGCACCGCTGGACTGATCGGCAGCGGGGGAGCGGATTGGGATGCTCGGTATCTCAGTGGAAGTTGCTGTGAGGAGGTTCTTGATGCGGTTTCTCTTTGCCATCTCTTCTGCCTCGGTTAACCGGATTAGGGGCACGTTCGGTAGTGTTGGGTCTGGAGGAGGTGATGGAGCACGGAGAAAGTCTGTGACCTTACGCCGGCGTGGAGCAGAGTACCAGTATGTTGGAGTGTAGCCGAGCAGCTCGTTGCAATCTCGGTTGCGAGAACGGAGCACGGTCCTTATGGCTTCTTCGTTGGGATAGTGGTAGTCGGCTTGTAAGGCTTGGATTGCTGCAAAGGAAGGAAGAAAAATGTTTAAGAACAAATTATTGAGGAAAGGCAATTAAGCGAGTCAGTTAGCACGGCTTACATGTCTCGCCGGAATTCTTGCTAATGAACCAGCCCGATACGTCGGCCGTTTCATAATTGCCGGACACCTAGAAGAAGTCGTCGTCGTGTAAGTCTTTGTTTGGGGTACCGGTCACTATTTTTTCTTTGCCCGACCTAATCTTTAAGTAATAGGCGAGGCCATCGCCGGTGTGACCAAGGGTGTACTGTCGCAGTATCTCGGCTAAACCTAAATTGGTCCCTAGCCGGTTATTTAGCTCATAGATGTCGTTGATTATTCGGTAGGTGTTGGTTGATAGTTGTGTGGGTGCTAGCTCGGTACGGCGCAGGAATTCGGTCAGCAGAGGGTTGACCGGGAAACGGAGGCCTCCTTCAATGATGGAAAGCACGGTGAAGGGGCACTAGTCTAATCTACCCCAAGGGGTTGTCTCAATTTCGGCGAGCTCTAGGTGAACGTCTGTCGGGATACCGTAGTCTTCTTGGAACGCGGCCAAGGCAGCCGGAGTGTCAACAAGGAAGTGGAAGCGCCCCATGTGTAGCCGGCTAGATTAGCTCGGCCGAGCCCGGTGCGCCAGAAGAACTCGCACAGTAGGGGGTTAACCGGAAAGCGGAGGCCACCTTCTATTATGGAGAGCACGGTGAAGGGGCACTAGTCTAATCTACCCCAAGGGGTTGTCTCAATTTCGGCGAGCTCTAGGTGAACGTCTGTCGGGATACCGTAGTCTTCCTGGAACGCGGCCAAGGCAGCCGGAGTGTCAACAAGGAAGTGGAAGCGCCCCATGTGTAGCCGGCTAGATTAGCCCGGCCGAGGTGGTTTGGTATAGACTGGTGTCTTGATGGCTGCTCGGTCTTTGAGAGCCTCAATATTTGGTCAGTGGTCCCCTTGGACTCTGCAGGAAAAAGATGATAGTTGTAAGTGTGAGCGCGGTTGCGCAAAATGAGCTTGACTTTAGCTCGGTCATGAAGAGTGCTAACCACCTCGGTCGTAAAGGTGAACCAAGGAGCTCGGTCGCTCAAGCGGACCAGACGATAGCCCGGTCCAGCGGCCAAGTTCCCTGCCTACCCCGGTTTCTGTTAAAGGTTTTGGTAAACTAGTAATTTGCTCGGTCTGAATGATTTTTTGGATCAAAGGAAGACCTGGAGCCCGGTCTGCCCCAGATCTTCAGTGTTCATCAGAGAAAATGAAGAACAGCAAGGAGAGTGAAGGGTTAGAGACGGTTTTGAGTGCCTATGTCCTAAAACCTACGGATTTAGTGCCCTAATATGCGAAATACCAAGTGAAATAACAACAAAAAGGGGTTGAAGAACTTACCAGTTGAGAGCAGTGGCTACTTCCTCGAACAAGAACTCAGTAATGGCAAGAAATGAAGGGCAGAAGCTTTGGATCAGCAAGGATGAAGGAAAATCAGTAAAGACGAAATGAAGAAGGAAATGGCGTATGTAAGGGAGGAAGATAGCCAAAAATTTGAATCTGGACGGACGTGATGTTTGGTTGATTCGAGGCCAATCATCACACGACACGTGTCCCTATTGACGGCGGTGTCAGTATTGAAGAGACATGATGGTGAATCGAGGCGTCGACCGGGCAAGTTTTGAAGACAGGCATGTCAACTAGCCCAGTCACCGTATTGCAAACCGAGGACTGAGGAAGTGTTACCCTGGTCAGAATAGGTAATCCCAGTCACGCTTGCGCGGACGGAATTAGGGGGCAATTAAGAAGGAGATTTATGATCTGGATTGGGCCGTGGTAATGGCCGAACAGATTTGGGCCGAACAAGATTGGGCCGAGGTAGCGCGGCCCGTGCCCTGAAAGGATTTGCTCGATTAAGGTAAGGCATGGTTGGACCGAGCTACTTGGCTTCATGGTATAGAGGCCGGGCAAGTGAGATGTCTGGTGCCAGGAACAGCGTTGTTGTTCCATGGTCCATGAGTGAGCCCGGTAGGAAGGTCGGCGGCAAACCAACATGAACTGTCCCGAGCTCGGCTATGCCGGGATGCAGCCGAGCTCGGTCCTCATTGAGCACAACGAGCGGAGTGCTTTGGCCAGCTGCACAGCATGGCCGTTGATAGCCAAGAAGATTCAGCCTGGCTGCCGAGCACCCAGTAAAGTGGGTTGGTAGTTTGGTTAGGTGATATTCAGCAAGATTTGTGCTGACAGATGGGATAGCAGCACTACGTGTCGAGAGACGGATGGGAGTAGATTTGGAGCGCAGAAGGTATATAAGCGAGTCTGCGCCCCCCATGCTACGGCAGATGACATTTTTGCGAGATAAACACTAAACACAACTCAGTCCTCTCTCTCTCTCTCTATCCCTGTGTGTGTGTCTAACTTGATCGTCGGAGGGGTTTTCTGGCCACACACAGCCAGGTAGCTCACCGCCGTTGTGCTCGCAGGTCGATCGGACAGACAGGAGCTTGGAAGAAAGGAGTGCGGGCTTGCCTGAATATTTGCTCCCCGTACAATATATATGTATTCATGCGTGTCGTACATAGTCCATGCTAGTGTAAAAACCCTTCAGTGTTGAAGTGCGCTTTACACACATTTAAACATAAGTGAATCCTACTATAAAATTATGCAAGTTTTCATGAATTTAAATAAGTGATTTTATAAAAATGAGTAAGTTAAATATAAATTCGCGTTAGTCTTAAGTTTCCACAAATTTACGTGAATTTGTATTTAACTTATACATTTTTGTAAGATCACTTATGTAAATTCGTAAAAATTCACATAAATTTATGATAAAATTATATATGATATGCTTTGCACACCAGAATATTTCTCTATTTAAACAAACACTACATAAAGACCAAAAAATTTAAAAATCAATAAATAAATAACTCACAAACCTCGCGCAAAAGGTACTGGTTGGAAATTTTAATAAGAATTACACAAAACAAGTAATGATTCTCCCAAGCAAAGCATAACTACCTACCAGCTCGGGATACCGTAGTCTTCCTGGAACGCGGCCAAGGCAGCCGGAGTGTCAACAAGGAAGTGGAAGCGCCCCATGTGTAGCCGGCTAGATTAGCTCGGCTGAGGTGGTTTGGCACAGACTGGTGTTTAATGGCTGCTCGGTCTTTGAGAGCCAACAGAACCCCAGCTTGAGATAGAGGTAGAGAAATAACAAAATTACTCATAAGTGTGTATGAGAGAGTTGAATTAAATCAAAGAAAGAGACAATACAAGATAAATTCACGATCATGATCAGTTCAGTGGTGGGAGAGGAGCAGAACCCCAGATTGGCGTAGCCATATGATGGGTTGGCTGATAAATGCATAATTTTTTAGCGCAGACAGAGAGAGAGAGAGAGTGTGTGTCCCTCCCTCCCTAAGTTAAAACACAATACAGGTTGGCTATTTTTGAAGTTGAAAGCTGAGCACTTTGTTAAATCAATTGATTTATGGAGAAAAGAATGATGAATCATACCATCATTTAATGGAGCATCAAAATAAAAGAAAACCCTTTTTTTACTTAATTGGTTTTCAAAACTGAAAGGTTGTGGAAGTTCCAAAGGAATTAAAATCAACTTTAACCATTATTGGTTTTAATTTCTATTTATTGGTTTTTAAAACTGAAAGGTTATGGTCCCTATTCCTTCCTAGATAGAAATAAGAACACTGCCATTTTTCTTTTTAAATCCTCTCAAGGAGAAACATAAGGCACCAAAGGGGAAAGGATTAGAAGGCAATAACATAATCAATAACAAAGAGTTTATTGATAATCACGCTTCCGTTTAACCGTTCATCAATGGATTCAGGTATGTCATTTTGTCTTGAATTCTTGATAATACACATGGTAAATGATCCAAAGTGTAAGGTTTATGTTCTGAAATTTATGTTGACAATACTTTTCTGTATTGATCTGTTTTCTTTGAACTTAGATTACTTTAAAATAGAGACAAAGTAGTATATGATACTCTGGTTAAAACAGATTTGAAAAAGGTAAGATGTTTGCAATCTTATTCTTATTTTTGTTGAATTTTTAACTATACTCTCATTTATAAATGGGTCAAATAGCTGTAAATATTTTAGTAGAATTTATTGTCTGTTCTAGTATATCATATTGAATTGTTAATCATTAACTCCTCTAACCATTGAAGCTATTGGATAAATAAGTAACTTCATGAATTATTTCCTTAACAATAATGAATAGACTATTTTCGTGATTTCAATCCACGCAACTAAAAAAGCTAGATTTTGAGTTCTATTACGTCAACATGCTTCTAGCAGACTAATAATTCAATTACCCCAAAAGCAAATTAAAAATCACAGTTTGTTCGGTCACTCTTTATTAATATTCTCTCATTAATCCTTCCTTCCTTACAAGCATGATAATTTCTTCTCTATCTCTTTCACAATAATTTGAAGGAAGAAATGGTACTGCTCTTCTTCAGAGCTTGATCTTCCATGGTCATGAAAAAAAACCAAGTCAAGGCCGACTAATGTTATCTATCATTATATTTTATCCAAGGGCTTCAAACGGATTTGAACTCCATACTTCGGTTTTACAGTGAGGACTATAACCGGCGCATGGCGATAATTCTCTGATATTGTGAAGCTAAACCTTGATATCAACATGGCTAATATAATCTTAGCTTCCATCATTGCGAAAGCTTGGCCAACACAGTTTCTTGGGCCGGCAGCAAAGGGTATGAATCGACCTGGAGCAAATGACTTGGATGCGAACCGATCAGGGTTGAACTCATTCACATCTTTGCCCCATAGTTCTTCACTGTGGTGGATTGCAAGCACTGGAATCCATATTGATAGTCCCTTTGGGATGTTTAGGTCTCCTAGCTTGATGTCTTCAAAGGCCATTCTAGGAAGCACTGAAGCTGGTGGGTACAGCCTAAGTGATTCATTAATCACCATGTTTAACTGCATAATATTAAAAATAAATAAATAGTAAGTTTGTGTAGTGAAAAATTAAGCGAAATGTCAAAAATTTGTTCATAATTTTACAGATATAAATTTGACTTTCAAAAAAATAATGATGGTCATACTTATCAAATGGTTGAAGCCACCACTGAAAAATCTACTCCGTGTTACTCAAAATTTATTTTATGTGGTCAGGATATGTATATGATTAATTCTGTGTATGTAAAATTGTTGTTTGATTTTCTAGTGACTCTAATATCTTTATATGCATTACCATCTAGGTTGCTTAAAAATTTTTGCAATTCTTCTTTCAATTTCTAATGGGTACTCAGATTATAAGTTCATTTTTGAAACTTTTAAGTTAATAGGCCCAAGCTTACATTTTTTTAGTCAAAAGGATATTATTTGTCCAAAAAAAAAAAAAAAAAATTATTTGTTCAAACTAACTTATTTGTCTATCTGTCCAAATGTCACCCATTTATATATGTGTTACATATCTGTTTAATAATTTGTTCAAATCTTACTTATATGTACACATGTTATCTATCTATTCACTTATATGTTCAATGTCATTGCCACCTGACGCTACCGGCAACTTTGCGGTCAACTTTTTTGACATTTTTTCAGTACGTGTTCTTACCACCAAAAAAATATTAACTCTTAAATCAAATAACATATGACTCTATAAAAATAAACTTTTTACTAATTAATCTTATTTTTATATTGGCGGACTTACATCTTTTTGAAACAGTGAAAAGAGGCGGAACCATGGATATAAGTACACTTATTTAGATAAGTGTACTTATTTTAGTCACATTACCTCTTTATTTTTCTACATATTTTTTCATAAAAAATCAAAAAATATATTTATTTAAATCCTTCTAATTAATCCCATAATACTGAAAGTGCGAGGGGAAATAATTAAGAAATGTAGCCTAGGGTCTAAGGCAAACACTGATCGACGTGGGATCAGCAGGGTTGACCTTTTTCGGAGGAATGTTTTTGTGGAAATCTCCAAAAAAATATATATTTTCTTGATAAGAACTTGTTTGACATGTAACACTTTAAATATAAAAGTCAAAAAATTATTAAAATAATCAAAAAAAATTCATAACTCATATCAAAAACTTAAATATTATATATATTTTTTATTTTTTACACATCTTTTGATAAAAAATTAAAAAGTTATTCCAAACATACTAATTTTTTTATCTCATATTTTAGTCAAAAAAACTAAAATATTACTAGAGGCTTCGTTTGAAAACAGACTTTTTTAATAACGTTTTGGTTTTTTAGTTAAAATATGATGTAAAAAAATTAATGTTTGGGATGACTTTTTTAACTTTGTGCAAAAAGATGTGTAAAAAATAGAGAGAAAAAGAAATCTTTGATTTTTTGGTATAAGTTGTTGATTTTTTGATTTTTTGATTTTTTTAGTGATTTTTTAACTTTTTAATTTTTTGACTAAAATTATTACTTACCAAACGAGACTTAAAATAACATGTTTCCAAACGAGACTAAAATCATTATAATTATATAAGATAAGTAATTCAATGATTGTCTAAACTATTCTATGCTCCATGAGTCCTTGGTCACCTAGTGCACCAAGGATCCTCTAGAGTGAAATTTTCCTAAAGTTTCCTAGAGTGCTACATTGTGTGGTTGAGATTTACTGGCAAGTCACATCAGAAAAATTGATATGACTTGCCAGTAAATCTCAACCACACAATGTAACACTTTAGAAAACTTTAAGAAAAAATCACTTTAGAGGATCCTTGCTCCACCTAGTGCTGCACATTATAAAAAATGTCACTTCCAACTTTTGATATTTGATTTGTTATTTAGGCAGATCTATTAAGTACTCCCTCCGTCCCAAAATATTGGTTCCTTTTGGGGAATTCAACTTTTTTTGGTAGTACACTTATTGCATTTGAAAAAAGTTAGTTTTCCAAAATTACCCTTTTGATAGTACATTTTTTGGGAATATCAATGTCATAATTGTACTTTTTAAATTGTTTATTAATTTAAAAGAAGGGCAAAATAGAAAATTTACATTATTTTTGTACTTGATTTATAAAGAGGGACTAATATTTTGGGACAATGAAAAATGGAATAAGGAACTAATATTTTGGGACGGAGGGAGTAAGACTTTTCTTTTTGGTACGTCACTCTTATTCGTCGAGTTTGATTTTATTCACTCAATTGTTATAATGAATAAAGATTACTCACCTTCAGACCCAAAAAAAAAAAAAAATAACACCTTTATTGGTTATTCCATTGTGATCAAATATTTTAAGTGGAGTTGAAAGTAGATCAGAGCCGATTAAAAAATAGAAATATTAATTCACTCATCATAAAGTCAGGAGTTAATTTTTTTTTTTTTGTTAATTTGTTACCGTATAAGTGGTGGCATATGGTGCATATAGAGTTTGGAATAACCGTCCTTGTCAAAATCATTTTGAACAAAAGTTTCCTATAATCTTTAACAAAGCATAATAGAAAATAACTTATAATTTCTTGGACTTACCAGGGTGAGTTTTGAGAGATGATCAACAGAGGGAACACCACCATTGTAGACATGTTTGACCTCGGCACGAACCTTATCTTGCCATTGGGGGTTGCTAGCAAGAAGCATGACTGTCCATGTGAGCAAGAGGGCTGTGGTTTCGTGCCCGGCGAAAAAAAAGGTTTTGCATTCATCCATGATTAGTTGCAAGTTTAAACTAAACCCATTTCCTGATCTCTTCTTCTGCATCTCATTTAGCAACATACCGAGTAAATCATTTCCATAAGAACTGCTTCGACCGATCTCCACACAGTCCCTCCGGCTCTGTATTATCTCCATTAGTAATCTCTCTACCTCCATCTTCAATGATTTTATTTCTCTGTTATACTTGCTAGGAAAAAACCTGTAAAAACAAAATTAGTAATAAATGGGGAAAATACCCCAACAGGGTAATTTTTTTAAAAAAAATCAAATCAATGAAAATTTTTATACATATTAATAATTAAATTTGTATATTTTTTTTATTCCTGACTGCCATGTAATGAATATGATATATGTTGTTTAGTTTTTGAAACTTAGGAACAGAGGAAATTGGGTCCCACATTGAGTTAAATTTAAATTGAATGTTGAGTTCAATTTCAGAGAAGTCAAATACAAAGCACTCAGAAAAATCATAATTTAAAACACTATTTGGAACATGAGGCACTCAATGTCAAATTCACTATCCAATACTTATATGCCTTTTTCGCTTTGTTTTTCATGGCGGAATCAAAACTAGCTTTGCAGATATCAACAAGAGGAGAAGATTGATCAGTGACATCTCTTACTTTAATATTAAAATTAGGATGAAATTACAAATACATTTCTTGAGATTTGTTTAAAATACAAATTACTTCCTGTGGTTTGAAAAATTACAAATACTTTCCTATTAGAATTTTTTATTTAACAGAATTAATTGAAAAAGTAAAATTTCTAACTGTTTACTTATACAATAATAAAATTATCTGAATTATTAATTGAAATAAAATTTTAACATTATTAAAAACTGTTAATTAACATGATCATTTATTAATAAAAAGACCTATTTGTTATGAAATTAGAAAGGGCATAATGTAACTTCTAAAAGAGTAATTTGTAATTTAAATAAAACTCAGGAAGTGTGTTTATAATTTACCCTTAAAAATGGTATCAACAAAATAAAAATAAAAATAGAAACTAAACCCACAAATAAAAGGACATCGTTTCTTGTCAAAAGAAAGAGACAAAAAGTCGATTTTCAGGGTTTTTTTTTGGTTCTCAAGCGTGTTCATAATTGTTGTTAAAAAAAAATGTGTTCATAATTTCATTCTGATGAATTCCCCATGCATATGTACTCATATATATTTTTAATATGTATATTTGAATTTCTAACTACTATTTTTGCACAAAAATAAAGGCTATATGATTTATGAAAACAACAATTGTTTTGTTTGTTTTCAACAACACCAAAAACACTCACCGGCTTCCAGGAAGGCACAAGTGGCGGCTAGCTTGAGCACAAAGTTGTTGCAAAACAGTGAGCAAATGAAATATTTGTTTGCCCTTCTCATAGCTACAATCGAACTCAGTTCGCGAAATTATATCAGCAGTGAGTCGAGCCATGTACTCGCCAATCTCGAACTCAGTCTGGCCCATCTCTACTGCATTTTCTAGTGATTGGACCATCATCTTAGTGCAATCCACCATGTAATCCGCATAGCCCTGTCAATCCAACCATTTCCATTTAATTAGCATTTACTCCCCCAATATTATAATAACAGTTAAAAGAAAAATCAGAACTCTCTTCTTCTTTTTTAAGTTATACTATTTATGTGCACCTTAAGTTTGTCTCCCATGAAAGCGGGCGCAACAATGTGTCTCTGGTGATGCCAATCATCACCGTTGGCCATTAGTAGACCCCGTCCGATGAAGTGCTTTGATCCTTGCTGTTGTAGCCATGATTTACCGGCTTTCGTACTGTATCTTGATAGAAGCTCTTTGATTAGCTCTGTCTCTGTTATGCACATCCGAGGCTCGATTCCATTCCAGTATATAAACCTTTTACCTGTAAAATCAAATTTCAGTTCTGGATACAAGACGGGTTATTATTTTTATTTATTTTTTTTATAATTTAGTATCTGGGTCAATAGACCGACTAAGGGCAACTTGGGTTTTTGTTGTCATGAAGCCATTTGGATTTAGAACATACTTTGGCTTTGTTAAAGAAAAGCCATTAGTGAAGGTAACTGAAATTTTGTTTTTAAAGGCCGGTGATTTGAGAAAGACACTTTCGAGTAAATGTCATGACACGCTTTGGGCAGAGTCAACTTACTTTGACATTATTGAAGTAAAGGGTATTACTATTACTCAAATCAAGAATGATATTAGGAATTTAGTACGCACTGGTCTCATTTTCTATGATTGATACGATTACAAATATGTTTTGTTCCATTTTCCTAAAACCAGAAAATTCTACTTTCTCATTTTTTGAATTTTTTTTTTTGTTTTTACTGATTTTTTTAATATTTTATGCAATTTTTTTACTTACCTAACATAAATCACCTAAAAAGTAAAAAAATTATAAAAAAAATCTTTTAAAAATTCACTAAATACCAAAAATATAAAAAAAATACAAGAATTCAGTACATTTTTTGTATTTTTATGTATTTCTTAATTTTTTAAAATATTTTTTTCATATTTTTTTTTACTTTTTAGATACATCTAAATAAAGTACATCTAAAAAAGTAAAAAAAATGTTTAAAATTTTAAAAATATTCATTAAAAATAAAAAAACATGAAAACTAAAAAACTCAGTTTTCAAAAAACTTAATTCAGAAAATTCAAACCAAACACACTGATGAAATTACCATAGAGTTTAGACCAATGGAGAAAATGGGGCAAGAGGCGGTCAACAATGTCGTGGCTGATGCAGTCCATGTCACGGGCAGTGGATTTGGAGACTAGGGAGGCCATGTCCAAGATGTTCCCAACAAGAAACCGGGGTTTAGGGCCACGCACTCCTTGCTTTTCCATGATTTTCTTGATGCGTCTTGGGGTTATCCAGTAACAAGTTAGAGTTTCAAAAGCAACTCTAACGAAGAAGAATGAGGACACAAGTAACAGAGCTAACAAAACCATCACGGCCATGGAAGTGATCATCTACCAATTCTAGCAAACAACACTGTTCCTCTGATTCGAATACAAAGGAGGAAGTGAGAGAGGGAGGGTGGTTTGTGATTTGTTTGGGACTTAGAAATCCACATTTTATAGTGCTTGGATGGCACAATTGTAAAATTGGAGATTACTAATTTATTCCTAACTAGTGTATGTACATTGTTTAATATTGAAATTTATGTTTTTTTTTAAAAAAAAGAGTTAAATTTATAAAATAAAATAAAAACATTTTAAATTAGTGAAAAGCACATTGTATTGTATTGTATTGTATTTTATTGTTTTTTTTTTTTTTGGTACTACATGAAAGCTTGTTAGTATGACACTTTAAGTTTCTATTAGTCTAAAACAATAGAATTTATAATTTTACATGTGGTTAATATATTTTTTTTTTTGAAGAATAACCCATAATTTTGAACCAATAAAATTCATTTTTCAAAACAAATTCAATTTCATAAATTGTACTTTCGAAATAATTATATAAATACTAATACTCTTAATAAAAGTATGTAAAAGGTGAAATATGATTGGTTGTAAAAAATTTAATTATATTTACTCCTCTAATAATATTTAAATACATATACATTTACTTGTACAAAATTATGAAAATTAATTGTATTTAATGATATTCGTAGTTTTGGCTTCTCATTTGCTAATATTGTATGCACTAATTACTGCATTAATTGGTATTTGTAGTTTTGGCTTCTCATTTGCTAATGTTATATGCACTAATTAGTGTATTAATTAGTGTACCAATTAATGATATGACATAATTTAAGATATTTTTTGTATTGGTAATTTGTATCATGAATAGAATTAATAATAATGTCATAATTAATGTTAGTACATTAGTTAGTATATTACTTGGTATATGTAGCACCATGGGTCAAACCAATACTCAATTTAAACCTCCCAAAAAATGAAAAGACTCGAATAGGGATTGAATTAAATTTACGGTGGTATTACACACACCAATTAGTGTACTAACTAGTATACTAACACTCATTATGACATTATTATTGACCCCATTCATTAATCACATTATAAAATTTAAAAACCTCTTAAATTATGACACATTATCAATTAGTACATATAACATTATTTTTAAATTTAACCAATCAAAATAGGGAATGGAGTTAATGTTTTGGGAAAAGGACTCGTTGGGAAGATGAAATTTATCCATAAAAAATGTTAGAGGCCCCAAATATTCTACCAAACGTTTTACCAAATGTTGTGGGACCCACATGGGACCCACATTGTGTGGGTCCCACACCCATGTGAAACATTTGGTAAAACTTTTAGTAGAATATTTAGAATCTCTAGTATTACTCATTCATCCATATCACCTTAATAATGACATATTTTAGGGAGAGAGAGACATACCTCTTAATCTGTCATTAATAAGTTACCCTCACAATAATATTACAGTAATATTTTAAATTTAAATTTATAATAAAAAAATAACATTTTAAATTAGTGAAAAGCACATTGTGATCCCCCCGCCCCCTTCGAAATAGGGAATGGAGTTAATGTTTTGGGAAAGGATTAAATGATAGGTTGACCTAGTCTGGCTGGGAAGATAAAACTCATCCATATCACCTTAATAATAACATAGAAACATACCCCTTAATCTGTCATTAATAAGTTACCCTCACAATAATATTACAATAATATTTTAAATTTATAATAAAAAAATAACATTTTAAATTAGTGAAAAGCACAATGTCATCCCCCCCTTCCCCCTCTTGTACTGCGTGAAAGCTTGTTAGTATGAAATAATAGAATTCATAATTTTAAATGAGGTTAATATATGTTTTTGAAGAATAGCCCATAATTTTGAACCGATAAAATTAATTTTTCGAAACAAATTCAATTTCATAAATTGTACATTCAAAAAAATTCTATAAATATTAATGACTGTGTTTAATTTTAATTTTTTGAATTTAATTTTATAAAAGTTACTTCCTCTATCTCCAAATATTAGTATTTTATTTTATTTTTTATTATCCCAAAATGAATTTATTTTAAAAAATTAATGACTAAAATAATATGAATTTTCTATTTTGTCCTTCTTTTAAATTTATTAACAACACAAAAAGTACAATTATGACAATTGATATTTTTAAAAATTGTACTATCAAAGAGTATTTTTGAAAAATTAATATTTTTAAAGTACAATAATTATACT